GCAGCAGAAATGGACAGGCTGAAGAGTTGGGCAGGGAAAAATGCAATGAAATTCAAAAAGGGCAAGTGTAGGGTCTTGCATTTGGGAAAGAACAACCCCATGTACCAGTATAGGTTGGGAACTGACTGCTGGGGAGCAGCACAGTGGAAACAGACCCGGGGGTCCTGGTGGCCAGCAGGATGACCATGAGCCAGCACTGTGCCCTTGCGGCCAAGAAGGCCAATGGCATCCTGGGGTGTATCAGAAGGGACGTGGTTGTAGGTCAGAGAGGTTCTCCTTCCCCTCTACTCTGCCCTAATGAGACCGCATCTGCAATATTGTGTTCAGTTCTGGGCCCCTCAGTTCAAGAAGGACAGGGAATTGCTTGAAAGAGTCCAGTACAGGGCCACAAAGATGATGGAGGGAGTGGAGCATCTTCCTTACGAGGAGTGGCTGAGGGAGCTGGGTCTCTTTAGCTTGGAGAAGAGGAGACTGAGGGGTGACCTCATTCATGTTTATAAATTTGTAAAGGGTGAGTGTCAGGAGGATGGAGCCAGGCTCTTCTCAGTGACAGCCAATGACAGGACAAGGGGCAATGGGTGCAAGCTGGAGCACAGGAGGTTCAACTTGAACATGAGGAAAAACTGTTTCAATGTAAGGATGACAGAGCACTGAGCAGGCTGCCCAGAGAGGTTGTGGAGTCTCCTTCTCTGCAGACATTCAAAACCTGCCTGGACGTGTTCCTGTGTGACCTGGTCTGGTGATCCTGCTCTGGCAGGGGTTGGACTGGGTGATATTTCAAGGTCCCTTCCAACTCCTAATATTCTGTGATTCTGTGATTCTGTGAAATTATCACAGAGATGTGAAAACAGCAGCTACGCACCCACACACCCCTGTATGGCCAGTGCTGGAAAGATGCCTGTTTCATCTGAAGCAGTTTCAGTGATGACAAATGATTCAAAGGAAACGAAAGCTGGGGGAGGAGGATACGATAGCCTTTCTGGTTTCTTTGTCATATACATGCTACTCCTGTCCATAATCATACCTTTACATTAAAAATTGAGGAGCATCTAAAGCTTTAGCAATATTGGTAGTGAAACTTTAACAGAGATCTCTTCTACCAGTTGATGAGGCTTAAGCAGGTATTCCACACCAGTAACATAGACTCCACTGACTTTCTCAATCTCTGATGTATTTTGATATGGCAGAAGATCATCTGTTGTCCAGCCAACACAGAGCAGTGGGCAAGATCTGACTACCTGGTGTTTAAAAAAGTGAAACCATGAAGATTTATTTCACACAAATACTTCAGTCCATTGATAAACATGTCCTTACTTTAAGATGTTCTTAAGCTTTTTTCCTGCCCCTGCTTGTGTTACTCCTCATGAGACTGCCCCAGCAGCTGGCCAAGGGTAGGATAAAGCTGATGAGTGGCTTCTTTTCCTCAAAAGGACCAATGCCATCCTCTCCCTCTTGGGTGCTAAGGCACACTGCTGGGACAGGCGAGCACCAGCTGCCTGGGGAATATCTCTTCCCAGCACTGAAAGAATAACTGAGGGCACTCCATGACGCAAACTGCCAAGCAATGCAGACAGCCTCTTGCATGGCAGAAAAAGAGAAGTAATGATGGTCTTCTGCAAGAAATTAATCTTTATTGAAGCAACCATGAGTCACACAAGCTGCCAGCTGGCCTGAGGAATAACAATAGCAGTTGCCTGGACAATAGCAGCTGGAGCTTACAAGGGAGATTGTCTCTCTCCAGAAAGCAATACGCTTACAGTACACACATATATGTAAGTGAATCTTTCCTCTTGCTGAAAGCAAGCATGTTGGTAAGTGCACATCACCAGTAAATCCCTGCTCGACTGAGTTGTGTTGGTGACTGCCAGGAGGTAGCTTGAGTAATGCTTTGGAGCAGTTCAAGATTGATTCTGCTTCCAGCCAAGTCAATGGTGAAGCTCTGCTCACCTCCGAGGGAGGAGGATGAGAAGCAATAGCCCTGCCCTCCCATCCCCCCACCCAATGCAATTCTTTCCAGTGCAAGATATTTGCAGCCATGTTAAAATGCTAACAAGGTTAGGGAAGGTGCTGTAGGCTATACTGTATTCTTGTATGTGTAGCAGCCTCTACCTGAGGGCCAGGACCTGTCCTGAACATTCACATGGGGGTTTCCATGTTTATCTCAATAAACAATTGCTTCTCACTGTTTTCATGGCTAAAAGCCACAATGAAGGAAAAGAGTGAAAGCTGTCATCAGTTCAACAGACATTTCACATAGCCATATAGCTTACAGCAGGTTTTTCAGCAGGTACTAAATCTACCACAGTGACGGTTTTCAGCTCAGAAGTGATTCTGCCTCCTTGCAATCAGGGCAAAGCACACTAGGGAGCTGTCGTCTGAGCCAGACTGAGAAGCTGAGCTCTCCAGTTGATTGAGGCTTTTTAAAATTCCTTTTATTATTGATAAGGTAATGTAAAGAGGACGTGGAGTTAGACATTGTATTGTTTGACCTGGCTGGAGATCAGTCCAGTTCTCTTTAAATTTAAACTTCAGTCCTGCATCTATGTGTAACATCAAAGTCCTTTTTGTATTGCACAGCAGTGCAGTGGGTTAGTGACTCTAGATAAACACAGAGCTCAGGTTGGAAGTTGAACAAGCCCCTGTGAAATCAGTGCAATGTCAAGCTCTAGGACATTGCCTAAATCCTAAGAATTAAAAAGTAATGGTGTATTGCACTAGAAAGGAGGAATAACAGAGGGATATGTCCTTATGCTGTCCATTTGTTTCAAAGCTCATGCACTGCTTTCTGATTTTTTTCCTAATCTCTACTAAAAGCTCTGTAAATCTGGCAGTAATTGAAAACAGGGGAAAAACAGTCGACGGTCATTGGATGCCTACATATTCGAGCATGATCAGAAACATGCCCAAAGTCAATCATTACAAGTGTCCTGGCTAGGAGAGCACATTTCCCATCAGCAGTGACACATTTTGTGTCCTTGTATTTACTGATAGCACAAGCTCAGTCCTGGGCTTTGATCCAGAGCCATCTTCCTAGAAACATTGCATCTTTGGGTGTCACAGGGAATGGCTCAGATGACAGTGCAAGAGAAGTCTGGTTTAATGCTGGGATTTTTGCTGGGATTTTTCTCCATTTGTGTCCTATGGGGCTGCTTGTGCCCTGCTTGTGGAGCTACAGCCCATACATCCCCTGGCGAGGTGATCTGCATCTTCAAGTCCAAGTATGTCTCAGTTCTTGTCTGTTTTCGGTGAAGGTGGGGGACTGCTTCTTCACAGAGCATGGTCCACTCTCATCAGCTCAGAAATGCACAGCAGCTCACAGTGCAGGAAGGGGAAACACATGACACACGTCCCACCGCCTGCCCCCGCACAACACCTTCCCAGGGGATTTTGAGGGTGACTTCAGACATTTTCCTGTGCCAAAAGTTGGCTCCACCTGGTAGGAATGCCCAGGCGGTGGGTTTCTACCTTTCTCGCAGGGTGTATTGGCCTTTCCGGTCCAGGTTGCTGTTGAAGTGGATGGAGAACCAGAGGAATGAAGTCAGGATCATCCCATAAACCTAAAAGGAAATCAATGAGACAAAAAATTAAATGCTGGAGTGATTATGATGCCCCATCTGTGCAAATAAGCAACCATAAATGTTGCCTGTTAGTCCACTTGGCACTTCTGAATCTGTGTATCAGGATGTCACATATTTCATGAAAGCCCTGTTCCAGTATAATGGTGAACATGCATTCCAACACGGGAGGAAAAAAAACCCCAACACGTGGTTAAAGCATCTGACTGGAATTAACACAGGACAGCTCAAACCCAGTCCTAAAAATACTGAGAAATGAGAGGAAACCAGGAAATGTGGATTTCAAATTCCTGCCACAAAACATTTCTCTCTGCAAACAAACATATCTCTCTCGTAAGTAGCCTTTTGTAAAAATAACATAGGGAGAAAAAAAACAACCCCTCATATTGTTTGGAGTAAAAACCCAACAAAACAAAAAAACCCCTAACAAAACCCAAACCCCAGCCCACGCATGTGCACTGCTGAGAATGCAGAGGACAGCGTACTTCCTCTGTATGGTGACATTCTGCCTGCTATGTCACACATTGGGATTTATACAGGCCACACACCAAAGGTAAGGCTGCTGTGGGAAGGATAACAAGGGCTGTAACAATGTGCTCTTTCCTAAAAGCTTGCCACAATGTACAAACGACTTTGCCTACGACTTGATTTGGGGACATGTGTGCATTGTTGGCGGAGAGACAGTGACATCAGAGCAGCCATGGCCCTCGTTGCGTGCTTCCTGTGCATCCTGCCATCACAATAGAAAACCAGCCAGCGAGACTTCCTCTCGCACGCGCTTCAAAGACAGCCGCCTTATCTGGCTATAGCATCAAACTGTGAAGAAAGATATATGTAACAAAAATACTGCTGCTTTTGTCTGAAAGTAGCTGCAGTGAAATTCTTCCTATACCTGAGAAAAATTAGAAAGCGACACCAAATATTCACACCTGACTTTACATTTATAGTCCTATAGCGATGCCTGATGGTTTTCCTAATTTATACTAGCAGTATAAAATACAAAAGTGTTTGTTCCTCTGTGTTTTGTTTAGATGGAGAAGAGCCTTCTAACCTGTAACCATGCCAAGGCAGACACACACATTAAAACAATCTCCAAATACACATTCAGCCAGGAAAGGTGGTGCTGCTGGGGAGCAGTACAGAGATATCACAGCAGACCAAACCTCCCTTCATCATGAAGAAGCAAGTTTCCTGGTGTGTACTCTTTTCTGGCATGTTTTGCCACACATGCAGGGCCCTCATGTAGAGATAATTACAGTGATACACCTCTGCCAAGCAGTGGGTGGGCATACGAGCTGGCCTCTTTTAATTAGTGGTGCTCTCCAGCTCCAAAGCAACTGTCTCCACACAGCCACCGAGCCCTCCCACGGCTGAAGGACACACTCCTCTGGCAACGCTTTGTTTTTCTTCTGTCCTCCCCAAAATAACACATGCAAATTCATCACAGATGCTTTCTATCAAAGCCAAGCTCTGAAGATGATCCTACCCTTCCTATGCAAGGTCTCCCTTCAAAGACAGTGCCAGGGAACCCAGGTAATGTCCTCTGCTCCTCTCCTTTGAAGTCTGCTCCTTCCCAGATACTGCTTCGCCCACCCACTGCCCAAGATGCACCTGTACCAGATTTGGTAGTGCTTCTCAGCAGGATGAGACTTTCCCTTTCTGCGTAGCTCTCCAGCTCTGCTTCTATTGCTCTGTAGCTTTCAAGACCTTCCAGCTGTGGCTACACAAAGCGACTTCCCGGGCCAAGCTGGGAGGCAGCTGGTGAGTGCTGGGCAAGCAGAGACACCAGGTTTCCTGAAAGATAGAGCTTTTACTGCATCTCTTTTTCCACAATTGCTGCCGGCTTCCTCCTGACCCGCAAGCCCTGCACCAGGCAACACAGCCTCTTGCTTGCAGGAGAAGATGTGCAGGCAAGTCTGGGTGTCTGAAATGCAAATGGTACTGCAGCCCACTCCCGCTGCTCCTCCCTGCTCTCAGCTGCTGTGCCTGATATTTTCTGGGCAGAAAAACTGTGCAGCGAGCCTATTCCTGCAGGGAACCCCCTCCAGCCATCAACCTGGCCGAGACAGGTCCTGGCCTTTTCCTAATTTTCATGGTGGAGTCCATCCCTGCTTGTTTCTCTGCTGCAGATTTCCAAAAAACATCTGAAATCCTAGCTTCTAGGGGCTAATTTAGGATACACAACCCCACACTGGAGGCCACCCCTCAAAGCCAAAATGCAAAGGAACAGACATAGCTACCGTGAAGATGATGGTGACACCCAGGAGCATGAAGACAAAGTCCATGTGCTTCTTCAGGATGGCCTGAATCTCTTGCAGGCAGTCCTGGAATGAGAGAGACACCCCTTGCAGCTTGGCAGCAACTCAGTGCGGGGGCTTCATCCCCCCAGTAGCCATTGCCACAACCTCAGATAGAAATGAAGGGAAGAGGGCAATGCAGCATTGCACGGTAGGGCTGCTCCTTGGGCAGCTCTCCTTTTTTCTGCTGCTTGATGCAACTTGGGAAGACAAACACCTGAGGTATGTTTTCTATTACAACGATACATCTACAGTTTTATTGGTATGATGAGTTTAGGTCTGTGGGGGATGTATGTATGCACAGGTAAATGTGGCCATGCACAAGCTTTTTTCTTTCCACCCACTGGAAAATGGAAAGAGGGAAATGAAAAGATGGAAAAGCAGAGCACACCATAATGCTAAACACATTCCACAAAGGTACTAATGAACAGCTCAGTTTCGCAAGCATTAATATACATCAGCCTTAAGCATGCCAGCAGTCCCACGGAAATCCAGGAGGTTTTAGCCAAGAAAGCCATTTCAGAAATGGAAGAGCACACTCTTGGTGAAGTCATTTGCAGAAAGAAGTGAGAGCGCTCAAAGCCAGAGTTAATGTAGTGCAGCTACCAAGCCCTGTGGTTCCCGGGTTGCAAATTGCATCCTCCCACTCACCTACCCCCGGAGGAGACACGAGGTGGGGGATTAAAGGGGGGAACAGTCACCCCTACAGTGCCCAGTTTTGCTCTGCTCTCCCTTTCTGCTCCTTGAGCTGAGTTTGACCCTGCTTTGAGATGTGACGTTCCCAGAAGCAGCGCTTTGAAACGCTGCCCCACAGGCCGCTGTGTGCTTGCGCATCACAGCGTCCTGTTAGCGCTTGATGTCTTTGCCTAACAACAATGTTTTTGCATAGCTGTAGCAACACAGTTTTGTTTTTCCTAGGGACAACATACATATTGATGCTGGCAGTTTTAGCTACTTCAGCTGATTTGGCTACTCCAGTGGAAGAAAAATAATCATACAATGGATTTGCTCAGAGAATATGAAGTCATATGTTGTGGCTTCAGCGCAAAGGCAGTGTAACACTGGTGGCTTTTCCACCAACCTCATTGCGGTACTGTGAGGAGGAGGAATGAAGTGTCCTTGATGAAAATACTGCTGTTGGGCATCATCATCATGCTTCATGCATTTCTCATTCGAATACCTATTTAATGCCCTGGGAAAAAGGAATTACAGCAAATTCCACATTTACTGTTAATGGGACACTTTTTAAGCCTCTGAAACTAGTGTCATGTGGAAAAGTCCAACAGGTTTTTTTTAGCTCAGACACGTGCCTGCGATCTCTCACACTCTCTGCAGAGGCAGGAGATGAGGAGGAAGCTGAAGGAAAGCGACAAAGCTTGTGCAAACACAACCATTTCAAAGGCTTTCTAGACCTGCAAAGGAAACTGCATCTGAAGGTCTGAGATCTGCTGATCCACCGGGGCTCCTCCAGCAGATGTGACGCTCCTTATTGAAACAACAAAACACCAACAAAACAAACCCCAACCCACAGAAACCCTAAACCACGAAAAAGCCACAATTCTCATTAACACTTAGTGAGATTTTAACAATTAGCAAGTAGCAGCACAACCCACTGTGGGGTGGAAGAAACTTTTCCCTTACCTGTCCTGCACTGTGTATCTGGCCAGATGGGCACGTCTTGTTCTCCACGTTGGTTGTGTCCCCAAATGGAGAGTACTTCCCACAGCACAGGAACTGGAAGAGAGGGAGAGGTCTGCCACCCACCTGCCCACTGGGGCTCTCCCCTCGCTGCCGGCCGCTCCGGCAGGAGGGGCTGGCCACGGGCCACCCTTCCTGCCTGCTGCCACATAGGCACGCAACTGGCAATGGCAGCAATGGAAGTTAAATTCAGAGGAGGTGGATGGATCTGGCCCCAAACTTGCCCGTGCTCCTCCAGGACTGCTGCCTGGGGCTGGGGCCAAGCTCTCCCATCATGGTCACACCAGGTCTCACAGTGCCTGCTCTGGAAAACCCAGGGATGTACAGATTCATGTTTCCAGTGCTTCTAATGGGCGTGGGGGGTGGTCCCCAGCAGCACCCATTGTGGAGCTGTTTCTTGTAGCCAGGGTGAACTGGCCAGCTTGGGGCTCTAGGAGAAGGGAAAAAAATCAAAGTAGAAGGACTCTTTCTCCATTAATTAAAGTGGCTACAATAAGCAACTGATGAAGCTGGGTATTATGCCTGGTTCTCCTTGCCAAGGGGGACTCTGCACGACCCTGCAGAGTGAGCACCACTGTGCCTGGTCATGGCTCTGAGGGTCACCACCATCATTGCAATGAGAAACATTTGCCATTTTCTGCATTTTGAGAAGCATGAATGAAAGCAGCTTCAGAAAGTACTTGTTATGATGATTTAAGAAAACACAGAAGGATAAAGGGATTTGCGTGGGAGGTGTCTGGAAACAAGCGAGTGGAGCTGATCTTCCCGTCCAGCCTTGCTGTGTGCCATGAACTCACTACCCAAACAGGTCCTGCTGCGTGAGGAGACAGCATCTCCTTTACTCAGCGGGGACTCAGAAGTTTCTCACTGTGAAGGACATCCTCACTCATCTCCTGCGACTTTGAGGGCAAGCAACCTCCTTGTGCTCTGGGCAGCCACCCTTGCTACAGAGAAGTCCCCTGTGTCAGCAGTATCGTGGTTGGTGGTTTCTGAGAGCTTGCTAGCAGCCTCCAGAATTGCAAGAGGCTATGTCCAAATACTCCTGCTGATCCCTCTTTCTCTACCTGACAGGGGACACCAGAGAGGTGTATATCCACTTTCTTGTACCATATATGGGGAGCATGGCAGAAGGCCTGCTGAGACAGACAATGTATCTGTCACCTACATTGCAGAAGCTTTGAAGATCTTGCACCAGAGCAAGGTGGCCCTTTCCTTCTGTTGGTAATTTGGTTGGTCAAACTTGGGAAAGGAATAGGAGGAAAGGAGGAGCAGACTTTACAGCAGGCTGGAGGACTCCCAAGGGAAAACAGCATTGCAGCACCCACAAGGCAGAGCACAGGCGTCAACCCCAGCCTGCTGAAATCACTGGGAGAATAATCCAGGGCAAGGTTTTCTGCTAAGGCTTAAAGACAACTTACTGCTTCATGGATGGCAGTCAGCTCATGCCTCCTGAAGCTGGAGGCATTCTTCCTCACCTCCTCATACACAAGATCGTACACATCCATCATGCTGTCCTCCACCTGAGATGAAAGCAGAGATATGTATGTGCAAAACACTGACTGCGGTCATCTCTGGAGAGAAATATGCTCTTCTTGCATCCCCCCCAGAAGGTCTCCCAGGTATGGCAAGACAAGTAGTGCAGCTATTAAATGATCACCATGCAGCAGCAGGAGCTGGTGTATGACCCACCACGCACCGAGGGGCACCTATAGCATGGTGAGTCCCATGAGAGAGGCTGTGATGCTGCACATGTACCACCTTCTGCTACGTGTGGACCCTTCAGTGTCATGCCAGGGTCTCACCAGCTGATGGCTGGAGCTTTTGGCCAGTTTTGGGTTTAAGGCCAGAGAAGAACTCTGATGCCTGTGACCGGTGTGGTCCCAAGTCCCTCTGCCAGGCAGGGATCACATCATTTCCCTGTCCTGATGGGGGACTGTGAGGACAGGTACGCATGACCACGAGATGCTAAAATAAAAAGATGAGAGGACCTCAGATGGCTGGTGTCATCCCAGTGATGGAGGAGTTCCTCTGAATAGAGCCAGAAAAATAACAGAGTGATTCAGTGGTGAATCAGACCCTAAATATTTACCAGAGGTGTGAGAACTCACAGCTTGACAGATCCCAGCCAACTCCCGCTCGGTTTCAAAGGGAAAAATACGACAATTGCCTTCAGTGCCTGAAGTTGAAACCTTATTTCTTCCTTTCGTTTTCCCTCGTTTCCTCACCAACATTGACCTGAGCAGGTCTACAGGCAATACTTGGCTTTCAGAAGGTAAAATTGATTGGTGAGACAGACAGAGCGGGTGGTGGCTGCTCAGGGAGGGATGGGCGCTCTAGGAGCTGAGCCATCTCTCAGGGAGGCTTTTCAGCTCAGTGCTTGAAAATTACTCTGGGGGAAAAAAAAAACCCAACATTGTGTGCTTGGGGGTGAAACCAGGGTCATTTGAGAAGATTCCAGCTATCATTGCAATATTGCTCTGCCCCACCTGGCTGTCCAAAATGCAAGCAATTAATGGCGGCTGACAACCAAGGAGGGGAGAGAGGGAGGTTGAGAAGATTACTTGTATTTAACTCAGCTCCATGCCACCATGAACAGAGTTTAAGGGCTCACATCAGAAGATATCCATGGCTGTCAACATAGCACAGAAGTGGAGGGGCTTGGGAGTTTCTCTGCATTTATCTGCAGCAAAGTGGCTGTCCCTCCAGGATCCTCCATCCCCCATCAAAGAATAACCAGTAGGGCAGGCATGAGCAACCCAGCTTTAATAAGAGAGGCCTGATGGCAGATAGGGCACAGATATTCTGAGCCGAGGAAAAAATTCTCCATAGCAAGGTGTGCAAAGCTGAGCTGTCCCACACAGGTGAGGAGTAAGGATGCTCATTTTGTCACCCTCGTGTGTCAGAGTACATAAAGTCTTTCTTGCCTTAACAAGATGTCTAGTAGACTTGTGCACCATCCTTCCCCAAGCAAAAATTAAATCCCAATAAAAAGGAAAACATCCAAGCTTTTCTAACTTCTTGTGGGCCATGAAAGAGCTTTCCAGCAGCAACAATTAAATAAATGTCTTCAAGAACAATTAGATTAAGAATAATGAAAAAAAGAATAATCTTTTGACCTCCTCTTGTGGCCTCCTGTTGCTGAGGAAGGAAGGAAGGAAGAACAAAGCAGCTGGCTTCTTAACTTAAGAGATTATTACCTTTTGCATATCCCAACCCTAGGCTAAGATGCAGGACTAAAAACTATTTTGTGTTGTGAAAAAGTACATATGGATCCCAGCAAGGTAATGGTGCTATATATGCAACTTTTTGTGTTTTCATATTTATCACTAAACTCAGAGTTCTGAATTCCCTCCAAAAGACCTAAATTTCAGTAACTTAAAAAAAAAAGGGGGAAGTGGTAGGGGCTCAAGCAAGTAACTGCATTCAAGCAATGGTTCAAGGTTGAAAGCAATCCAGAATTTAGCATTAAAGGTGTACTGAACACTGGGCCAGGAAATGCTGGGACAGGTAGTTTTAAGCCCTCTGCCTTCCATGGGCACGTTCTTCAAAACCTTACAGAAACTGGCAAAAATGCTTTGACTGCAATGAGTTTTGAGCCAGATCTAGCTGCTTACTTTGCAACTGTACTCAGCTTAAACCAAGGTAAGGTGAGACTTTGTCCAGTGATGTTTCATCTGTGAAGACCATCACAGGCTCTGACCATGCCACTAGAGCCAATTCACTACAAAGACAAGTCAATGCTCATCAGTGTTTTGTCCTGATAACAACCCTCAGAGCCCAGCTGAAGCTGATGCCCCCCTCAGCAGCTTCTCAGGTGGACCTGCTGCACTAAGCAACGTGCGAGAATGGCATGAGAGCTGCCTCTAGCTTGTGGCAGCTCCCAGATGGGCAAGCTCCTGCCAGCTGCATGAAATCACGAGAGGATCGATTTGATCAGAAGTCCTGTCAGATGCAGCGGTGCACATTTGCACCTTCTCCATTATTTTGGGGGTCATGCAATGACATTAGACATTGAGACTAAAGCTGTTTGAAGAAAAGAGTGGCTATGAAAGAACTAAAGGAACAAGATTGCCGTAACAAAACTACGGCAGAAAATTATTGTGACTGTTGGAAACAATAAGGGAAGAAACTACGAGCAGCCACAGTTTCACAGCCAGCTCGACTACAGTAGTGGTGATGATGATGATCTCCAGGTACATAATGACTACTAAAGGATTACTTCAATTGCACCTTGTTTCTGAGCTTGCCTGGGAGCTGGCTTCTCAGTTATT